GTGCTGTAAACCCTTACTTAAAATCGACAAAACACACAAACAAAACAAAAACAAAGAAATAACAAAAGAAAGAAACGTACTGAGAGCCATGTTCGCCACGGTATGGCACGTGGTGTCGCACTCCCAGCCGATGCAGCAGAAGTCCCCAACCTCCAGCAGGTCGTACTCGAAGGCCAGGCCGAAAAGGCAGCAGTTCTGACCCACCTCACTTCCCATGAAAAAACAGAGAATGGTCAACTTGGCTATGGGGACCACCCTCCAAAGTGCTTGGTTGTTCTGGGTAGGTCCATTTCACAAATTCTGAGTCATGTTGGGAAGCAGGCCACAGGAAGGAAACCAGAAATAGGCTCACACACTCCCAAGCCGCACGCCTTCGCGCCCATGGCCCGGAAGTACATGCTGAGCAGCTCGGTTCCCTGCAGCGCGTCCAAGGCGTCCTGGGCATGGGCCAAAAGTGGGGTCACCTCCTGAGCACTCGGAAGTGACTAACATTCAGCTTTTGGATGAGGTGCTTTCTCCTACGAGGGGCAATGCACATGCTACCCCTTCAGGAATTGTGTGGGGCCAGGTTCTAGTCTAGTGGGGTCATATACATCCGCGGAAGGCAGAAGGGGTGGCTGCAAACAAAGCTCGTTTCACTCAACATGGCTGGGAGTACTCCAAAAATTGTTTGGTTCTTGCTGGAACCCCACTCAAAATCAACCCCAAAAACGCGAGTTGGTCGCAGAAATCACTTGAACAACCAGACCCCAGACTCTGGTCCTCTAGGCTTACCCTGAGAAGGGGTGATGGAAAACGTGGCTGGGTGTCCCTCACATCCGTTGCATGGGAAACATCAAATTGGTGATAAACACTTGGGTGGTTTCATCCAAAAACCGCCTTTACGAGGTGACGCTTTAGATCAGCTGGCGAATGTGATTTGTTGACTCAAGGGATGAATCCAAGAAATTCCCGCCTCCATGGCAGTGGACCAAATCAGCATGGCCATCCAGCTCAGGTGAAGAGACCCGAAGAAAGCGTAGCCTGGGATTTCGGGAGGAGAGCGCTGAGCTGCACGTGGAAACCAAAAGCAAGATGTGGTTTAAGGGAAAAAGGGTCACCAAACAAAGATGTTCAAGAGTCTGGCCGGGTCAACGGCAAAACATGGTGCAAACCACTGTGCGAAACAACACGTCAATCTCCATTTAGGGCTACTGCATGCAGTTTCCGTTCCCAAGGGAACACGATGGCCCCCCCCCTCCCCCCAAGCCGCCACCATTACAAAATAGAACATCAACTCAATAAGGTTTTTTCAAAGGAGAAGAAACGGTCACCACCCGTCGCCTCCATGCGAAATGGAACGTCAACTCAAATAGGTCTCTTTCAAACTTCAAAAAAGAAAAGAATCTTTAAAACAGTTCCCCACCCCCCACCGCCCCACCTCCAGCCCGGTACTCGCCGATGAGCACCTGCTTCAGCGCCCAGTTGGCCGCCAGCACCGCCGCCGCAGACGCGGCAAAGAGCGCCGGCAGCGCAGCGACCGCCAGGGGCCAGGGCACCACTTGACAGACCACCTATGGAAATCCCAGCTGACGATTGGTTCTACCCGACCTAGTCGGAAAAGGGGCGTATTATTCAACCTGAGAGGGGACATCTTTATCAAAGGAAGTTTAGGCAAAACACTTCCGTAACACAAAAAGTTGAAGTAGCAGAGTCGTGCAATGAAAGGGAGCAAGTAAGTAAGAAATACGGAGAAGAAATACAAAGAAGGAGATAGAGACGGAAGGAATTGCGTGGCAGGCGCCGCATGTTGCGATTGGCAAGGTCGCGAAGGCTACCTCTGTTCAGCGCACGGGTTCGCCGCAGGCTCGCCGCGCTCTGGAAAGTTGCCCATGCCATGGCCGCGCAAGGTTTCTCTAGGATTGAGTCGCGTGGCAGGCGCACCGATCTCGTGGCAGGCGCAGCATCTTGTTCCCACGGGCATTAGAATTCGTGACATGCGCAGCACTTTGGAAAGGCAAGTCGCGCGATTTGCGAATCGCATTGATATGGACGCGCGAACTGCTATTCCGCGGCAGGCGCATGATTTTCGCACCCTGAGGTTCAGATTTTGTGGTAGGTGCACAAGGTTAAGTACCAAGGTCGAGTTCATTGCAGGCGCAACACTTTCGCAAGATAGACAGATAGATAGATGGACAGATAGATAGATAGATCAAATGGAGAGAGAGAGAGAGAGATACAGATACAGATACAGATACAGATACAGATACAGATACAGATACAGATACAGATACAGATACAGATACAGAGGCAAAAATAAAGAAGAAAGAAGACAGAAAGAAAGAAGGAAAGACAGAAGGATGAAGAATAAGCTCAGGCGACATCCCCAACAGCACGCGGTGCTCGTTTTAGTGCTCGCACCACCCCGCAGCCCTCGCAGAACCTCGTGGAACCCTCGTGGAACCCTGGTGGAACGCTGGTGGAACCCTCGTGGAACCTTACTTCTGGGCCGCCCCGGACCACCAGCTTTCAGCTGTTGGGGAACAAGAAAGAAAGAAAGCTCGCAGGAAAGAAAGAAGGACATAAAGAAAGAAAGAAAGAACGAAAGAAAGAAAGAAAGAAAACAGAAACCAGGATAGAAACAAAGAAGGAAAGAAAGAAATTCAGGAAGAAAGACAGAAAGAAATGAAGAAAGGAAGAAGGGAATAAAGAAAGAAGGGGGTGAGAAAGAGAAGGGAACGCGAAAGAAAAAGAGAAAAGAGAAAAGAGAAAGAGAAAGAGGAAGAGGAAGAGGAAAAGAAGTCAAGAGACAGAAAAGAAAAGAGAAGAGAAGCAAAAAAAAAAGAGATAGAGATAGAAAGCAGAAGAGAAAGAGCAAGAGAAAGAGAAAGAAAAAGAGGAGAAGAAAAGGCACGAGATGCTCAGAGAAGAGAAATACGAGAAGAGAACGGATGCTGCACGAAAACAGTTCATCTCCTACAGGCACATTGATGGTTAGAAACTTCCATCTTCCAGCTTTGATGGACCATACCTGGTATATATGTATGTATCTGTATAATGTATATTGGAATTAGGGCGCCTGTGTGATTGCGCCGGACACTGACAAGCCTTTTGCAGCACAAATCAGATTAACTCGAAGCTTGCGCACGCCGCACGCCCTCTTGATCCCCCATTCGCCCCGTGCACCCCTGCGTGCCCTACGCACCCTGCGAACACCGCAAACCCCCCAGCCAAACTCACTGACTTTCTTTCGAGTCTTTCGACATGGCCCACGGAGGTGTCGCACTCTAAACAACGCTATCGCAACACCAGAACCACCCACCTCTTCATTCGAGAAAAACAAAAAAAAGCGGGGAAACAAAAAAAAAAGAGGATGACAACTCCTGGAAGGCGCCTCCTGGGAGACCAGTTTTCTCTAAGAGGAACCCTCTTTCAGGGTCCATGTTGCTCTTGGGAGGCGAACCCGCCCAACTCTTTGGGCTGCACTGCACCTGGTAGATCTGGTACGTCAGCATGCACTGGTACGCAGGCACAGGGCTGCACAGCAATGCGGCTGCCACCATTGCGGCGTTGCCGACCCAGAACCTCAGCCAGACTCCGACCTCTTGAAACAAGATACGCATTCTTCGTGTTTGACATGAGACAGCCAGGAGAACAAACAAGTCAAAGAGTTGCTAAAAGCTAGTTTTTGCAGGCGTGATCCTCTTTAACAATGGAAGACCAGAATAAGTTGTTCAAACAACCAGGGTTTACGATGCTTACACAGGTGAGCCAAATTTGTGCCCACTGCGCACTGCAAAAAGTGAAGCGGTTGGCTAGTTGAGAACAGGAATGAAGGAAACTGACAAGGCCAAAAGTATCCAAAAGTGAAAAGGGAAAGCTAAGACTGGCAATGAAACCACGCAGAGTTGAGCCTGCGCAGGGCTTCCCACTCGGCCGCCTGCTCGCCACTGGCCGCTTGGAAGCGGAGACGCACAGGTCTACCACCAACCTTGGCAGGTAACCCATGTAAAGAATCAACAAAAAGATATCCCATTGTTGATTCAAGTCATAACTCAAAGTCAAAGTCACCTCAAAAGAGGCTGTCCCGTTATTACTCAAACAGGCTTTTGGTGTTCGCGGCCTGTGTATTTGAGCTTGTTATCTAGCAAGCAGTCTCAAATTGGCGGGGCCTTCCCTTCCTGATTAAAGGAACAAGCTGTGAAAACACAGGGCCTTTAAGACCTCAGCTTTCCCCATAAAAAAGGTTGAAGAGTTGGATTGGCCAGGGCTGTGGTTCCCTTCTGGTAGGGTTAACCCCCGAGTGATCCCACCAACCCTGGACTGCCCGGACCTGCCCTCATGGCCTGCCCGGTGCTCACGCTCTCCGGGGGGAAGTAGGCGTCCTCCGGCGCCAGGGACGCGGAGCCCAGCACCGCGCGCTCCCCGACCAAGGCGCCGCCCAGGAGCACCGCGTGGTCCAAGACGTTGGAGCCGCGGTACAGCCGCACCTCCCGCCGCACCTCGCGGGCTGCGAGCTGCGGGGCACGCCGAGCCGCCGGGCGATTTGGAGGCACTCGGGGACTTGGGAACTTGCACAAGGCCGGCTGGCCCAGGGCTGGGATACCCACATGTCTCTTTGCGAAAAGCAGAAGAAGGACTGTGCGAAGCAGGTGGGAGCCCTCTGAAAATGATGGCTTCATCAAAAAATGTAGGAGCCAAAATGGTGGATGTTCCTGTCTGCTTGCGTTTAGGTTTAAAACGGGACGCGTCTTCTAAAAAGATACATGGTGGGTGTGGTCTTCTGAGGCAAGTGGAAGCCACCCAAGCTGACTCCCCCCAAAATACTGACGCCCACACGCTTCTAATCTGAGTGCAGGAGTAGAATCGGCCCTGTTGTTGGGATAGGGGGTGGCGGCCACTTTTGGGCGTTCGACCCTGAGCAACCCTACTCAAATAACGGAAAATCCACCACAGCCCAGGCTTGTAAGTTCAAATCCAGTGATTTGCCCGTGGCTACTGACCGCTTTCCTCAGGTACCGACTCGATCGCCCTCTTCCCATTTTCCTCCCGCCGGCCTCCCCGCAGTGCACGGACACCACGGACCCGAAGACTACGTCATCCTCCACCACGAGGCAGTCGTGCTCTGCAAGGTACACGTTGTCCATCTGCACACGCCGGCCGATGGAGGCACCAAGGAGCCGGTAGAAGCACGACAGGATCTCCTAGTTGGCGAGGTGGGTGAGAAAGATTGAACTGATTCCGAGATTCCTGTCAAGATTCAAGATGTGGTACCCTGCACTCAATAAAGGACTGTTCGGCACAATGGGCATCCGACGGACACATGGGGGACCGACCGAATCAGAGTGGAAGGGAACCAACTCAACGCTGGTCTCCAACCCGCGCAAAATACATACAGTGCTTCGTTCAGGATCCCGCGACAGCTAACTTGGAACTTTCTTCAAGACTCAGTGTCCGCAAGGAGGGTAATACAACCTTCATGGCAGGCTGCGCCCCCTACTGTGCATTCATGCAAACACACAAACCCTCGGATGGATGATCATGTTAAAACCATAGTTTGAACACCCATATTGAAGCTGTTGTTGCTTCCGCGCGAACTGGGGGTTCGCTGCCTGTTCAAACAAATGTTGGCCACCGTAAACTTGATTAAACCTGACCCCAGGCCATTTTTGCCACCAACCCAGGTCGTTACCCCCGATGTTAGGTTGATTTGAAGGGAGTTGTCCCTTCAACAAAAAAAGGCAACGCACCTGATCCAAAAGCATTTTGTGGAGTGCCCATCACTCACCTTAGCCTTCTGGCCCTTGCCCCATGTTTTGGCCGCCCCGTCCGTGCCCACGAAGGGGTCCACGGCGTCATCGAAGGCGCGGGCCGCCACCGCCATTTCGTGGAGCCACACGCGGAACTCCTCCCAGTGCCAGGCCCAGGAGCCCTCGGCGCAAACCTCCCCCGGCGCCTGCGGCTCGCGACTCGGGACTCGGCGCGGCGCGAGTAACCTGCGTTTGGGCAGCTCTCTCACGTCCGCTCTTTTCTTAGTGGTTGAAAAACCCGGGTGTCAAAGGGAAAAGCCTAAGAGAAACCGACCAAAGATGTGAGAAGGATGGTGTCCTTCTTTTTTTTTTTGGGGGGGGGGGGCAACCGCAATGACTGCGCGATGTTTTGTCCTGGACCGCTAGGGACACCAAAGAAAAACCGACCCCGTTTTGGCAGCTCCACAGTTTTTCAAGAAACCAGGCGTCCAAAGTGACATCAACCAAAAGAGCGGATTCCCACAAAAACGCGCCACTTTAAGGGGCGCCGCGTTAAATTGGGGCCTCCAAGTTAGTTCAGAATGGCAATGCAAAGTAAACCACCAAAAGTTTTGCTTCAGAACCCTCGACGTACAAGCCGAAAACTTCGTGTGGCACCTGCGGCCCCAAACGACCCACGAGGAAACGCTTCTGCAAGATCGTGAGGAAGAGGAACCCCAGGGCATAGGCCTGGCATATGAAGAGTGATCATGTCGAGCCATTGGCTCAACCCAGTCAGTCAGCAGTTCTCGCTGGGCATGTCCCCTCCGCTTCCATTTTGTCCCTGGCTGAGGGGGGGGGGGTAATTAGAAGGGGCTGGAGGGGGGGGGGAGGTTGTGATGGATTACCTCCCCCCAACCAAATTTCACGGGGCTACTCAGAAAAAGAAATTCAAGGAGGGGAAGGTGGTTCTACCTGCAAAAAATGCTACAATTTGCATGGCCCCTTTTTGTGTATAGGAAATGCTGCAATTGGCACCCGCCCCCCCCCCCCCACCTCCAGGTAAAATAAAGGGGGGTTACCCCCGCAACACAAAATTGGAAAAAGCACCTCCCCCATTTTTTTATGTTTTGTTTAATTAATAAGGAATTGTTTTTCCAATTTCCATTGGGACCTCCCAAAAGCGGGATTCCACGCCGGACCCCCCCAAGCCGGAAAAAATGGAATGGAAAACATCCTACCTCACGCCCCCCCTCACATTCCATTTGCGAGGGGGTGGAGATCATAGCGCAGGTGCCTTTTGGAAAATCGGAAGGAATTGGCTTGCTGAGCCTCCCCTGCCAAAACGAAATCCTTCCCCAATCGGCCACGTTTAAGGATGCGGGGGGCATGGCCTGGCGGACGAGCAGCAACGCAATCCCAAAGAGCAAGCGCCAGCCGCTCAACCAAAGCTGTTCCAGGCCAATCACCACCATCAAGACCGGAAGGCCTCGGCCAGGGGACCTTGTTTTCAACCTCAACAATCGCAGTGCGCTTTTCGCTTGGCCTGGCATGGAAAGACACCCTTGAAGCCTGCCCAAAGATCAAAGAAGCTCAAATAGCCCTCCGTTCCGTTCTGCAAAAGAACTGCAACCTGACCCCTGTATGTGACATGCAGTGAGTCATTCTCAAAGAAGATATCCCTTTGCAGGCGTTGAAGATCAAAGCAAAACCACCAACCACACCTTTTAGCTTGCTTTTAACATAGACCCTTAGATAAATGCGACGGGTTGCTATGAAGCAGCAGCAACCACGGCAGGCCAAGAAATATCCGCAGATGGTCCTGGAGCTGCCAGTGCTGGAACTTCCCGATGGAGGACTTCGTTAACGGGCAGAAGGCCCCCACCGGCCCCATCCAGCCGCTGGTGGTGGACATGGGAGCCACCTCCGAACCTCGAGAATTCGGCGGTAATGTATGGGCTAGTCTCAAAAAAGCTTTGGCTCACGGATCAATGCACCACCGGCTAGTTTCATTTTTCTTTGGGGAAACACCCCCTATATATCTGGTGAATCCGCGGTCGGCATGAGAACGCTTGTCCGACAAACTGCTCCACTGTTCCCCCTGGCGGTCCCATATGTCGGCTTGCCAGGGATTATGGACTGGAGCCGGCCCTGTTCCCCGGCCGCACACGCATGTGACAACCCGTCGCTCACTTGCAGCATCATCGCGGCTGGGATGAAACATGTGAGTGTGTGTCCTGTTTTTTGGGCCGCTAACTTGGAGACAAGCCCATGTGCGCAATCCGACCTGCATGAACTTCCAAGACAACACGGTAGTGCGAATTCCGCCGCTGAAGCTGCAAGTGATGCAGTGTGCTTGGCCTTCGAGGGTTGTCTCATTTCAGAGGGAAACCCTGGCCAGCTTCGCTTGCCTGATGAAGAAATGTAAAACAGACGGGGTACGAGACCATATGGCTACGTTGATATTATTTGTTACCCCTGCTCCGTAAATTATAACCTTCTTCGTCAGATAGTTTGAGGAGGCCATGTTAATTGTTAATGGATCCAGATTTTGGCTCATGGACATCGGTTTGGGACATGGACATGCGAATCATGGTTTTGGCCTGGTGTTGATCAACTCACGCCCCTGGTTGCACTAAAAGCGATGATACACCCAAGTTCAACTGGACCTATGCGCAAAGAGCTCCCCCCAACAAACCAAAAACGCACCGCGGAGGAAAAAAACAAACAAAATGGCCGCCGCCAAGTCGCCTGCGGGGATCTGGGAGCCCATCACCACCATGGCCCGCGGCAAAATCCGGCTATTGGAGCCCACCTCCACAGTGCCCAGCAGCAGCTCGCCGTCCACCAAGCCTACCAGAACTTGGATCAGCTTTGCAGCTGGTTTGGAGCCGGCGATTTTTGGTGAGGCGGGGTAAACCCCATCCGCCCTCTAAAATCCAAAAACCAACTCAGGGTTGCTGCCTTAAAAAAACAAACACAAAAAAGAAAGGAGCTTCTGTAAATGGAAGCCCCATGTGATCCCCAAAAGACATGTTTTTTGGGGGTCACGAGCCTACTTGGGTTGGAAAAGCCAAGCGCGGTTGGCGTTTCTCGGGCGGGGGCGCCTTTCTTGAAAACAGTGCAGTTTTTGAGCGCTTTGGCGACGTAAGTCTGAAGGGTTGCACTATGAGTATGGGGCGTGCCTTGAGATCCAAACCCGGTGCAAGTTTCCCGCAAATATACCTGAACGTTTTTCTCTGAGCTCTTTGGGTAGCAGCCCTGAGTAACCATCTGGTCACTTTTGGCTGCTTCCCGGAAACAGCGGTGGTTGGCTCTCTTGATTTGGCAATGGGCCTGAGGTGCCGAGGCGGGCGTGATGGATTTCCACGTCCTCCCCAATGATGATCAAGTCCGGTTCCTCAAGCTCCGGGTCGTTGAGATCCACCCGCTGCCCAATCTGGGCGCCGAGGGCACGGTAAAAGCGCACCAGCAGAGATGTGCCTCACAGGGTTTCGTGGGATTTAGAAGTTCCCAGAAGTAGAAAGTGTGCCCAAAGAGGCGCAAGACTATTTGGCGGCCCTTGTGCTGTCGTCAAACCCTGCCTGATGTGAACTCGGACACGCGGTCCCGGCACTTCTCGACCAAGTGCCGACCAAAAAGCCACCTGACAATGGCTGTCTGAGTTCCCATCGAATCAACGAATCTAAGGAAGGTCAAGTAGAACTCCTGAGCTGTCGGCTTTCTGCTGCCGGCTCCACTTTGCAAAGACGGGACGCCCGCCTGAAATACGGCCCGCTGTAGACCGGGAAGCGGCCGGGCTCCAAACGCCCCACGAGGAGCCACTTTGCGGCCACGCAGAAGCACGCCTGGCAGCTCCAGGCTGATGGCGTTTCTGGCTGCAAAGGTGGGTTTTGGCCGAAATATGTTTGAACAACCAGCCCCTGATGCGAATGGAAAGCCCAAGGAACGACATTCACAATGGCTCAAACCTGCTTAGAGCATGGGGTGACAGGGAGTTTTGTGCCCCGGTTGGGTTACAGCCAACCTACCTTTCATCACTACGCGAGGCTGCGGGCCGTAAGTCCAGGAACTCTTCCACAGTCTGAAATCGAGCTCCATGTGGGGAAATCACAGCTTCGACAACGGATGCAAGAGATGTGAAACATGTCTCGAACTGTTGGTCGAAGGCAGAAAGGTGGTGAATGACTTTCGGTCCTGCACGGCCTCCTCACTTGCCCAATGAATGACCGTTGAAAACAACGGAGTGAATTTGGTTGCATCTACAAACGTACAAGCAAGCACTGTGGCGCGACGACTTCTATCGAACGAACGAGCAGCATCTTGCTTCAGCTTCTTGTTCTTCTTCTTTTTCTTTTTAGGGGGGGACTGGGTGCAAGAGCTCCCAAGGGGAAGGCAACGAATCAATCTAGCGACATGGGACATGGGCATCCAAAGTACCTGCGGCCTCTCATCGATTTTCGACGCCTCCAGCCCCACCATGGCCCCCAGCAGAAAGGCGGTGCCGGCCAGGAAGGCCATCCAGTTGAACCTGAGGGAACAAACAAACCCGCCATCCCGCTATGGCCTTCGGCTGCCTGAGAAACCCGCCTGCCACATTTCGCGGGAATTGAGTTACCCTCCCACCCCTTTTCACATGGAACCTGATCAGGTAGGTTGATCGGTGGGTATAACTTGTACCATGTTCCTCAGTCCCCTTGGTCTCTTTTCCTCTTGGCCGAGACGACTCGCCAAAGCTCTTTTAGCTGCGGCACCTTGAATGAAAATTTTATTTGGGGCAGGATTTGAGCGTCACAGTTTCCTTTTGGAAAGTGATGGATTTCTGTCTTTTAAGATGCCACCGTTCCTCCATGGTTGACAGGAAGGTGTAGTAATACTACTTTCCTTTCGCAAAGCCTCCCTGTCCACTTCCCCTCCAATCCCTGGACATTGAATGGGAACCCACATGCGGGATCTAGCGTTGAAGACTGGTATCAAAAGCACTGAGCCACCCTTCCTTCCCACTTTCTGGGTCTTCAAAAGGGATCTGAAGTCGGGAAAACCCAACACCCCCTCCCCGGTTTCGAAGCCGGGCGAATTGATCTCGCGCCAACCCTTTCGACCCGCACCTCACCGCCTCTCCAGCTGCGCAGGTGCCCGCAGGGTCGCCTGGCTGGGCGCCATAGAGCGGTTCATCCCTAGGAAATCAAAGGGGGTCGTTTACACAATGGAGTCGTCCAAACCCTGGCGTCCCCCAAAGTAAAACTTGAGAAGCTCTGAAAACCAAACTTCCCACGAAATTGGTGGTCTGGATCAGTGGCTTGGGGATTTGAACCCCTGCTTCTTGTAGATGGTAAATGGGAAACCCCTCTATTTCACCACCAAACCCTTTAAAACACACACACACACACACACACACACACACACTCACCCGCTTGCGGCGGGGCGCCTAAGGCCTCGTAGAGGCTCCACAGCGCCAAGCCCCGCAAGGCCCAGGAGGCCGTGTCGCCCAGGCAAAGCCCAGCCACGGAGACCAAGATCTGCAACATCCAGCTGCGCCAGGTCCTTTCTGCCAGCTTCGAATGGGGTTTTGGATTCATGGAAAACACCACAGGAAACAAACCCGGATGTTTTAGGTAGGGAGACTATGGCTGTCAGCACCTGAAAGATAGGGTCTGTCTGAAAGTGAGTCGAACCAAAACTGATCTAACGAAAAGGGGGCCAAACCAAGGCGAAACCGCACAATTACTGGAAGGGTTCGGATCAAAGCTTTCTGGCCTCAGTCTTTCTGATGCTTGGGTTGCAGCCACATTGTCAAATGCGAGAACCCCACCAAGCGACTGGCCCGGCTCAGATGAAGAAAAGAGTGCGAAGGCAGGCGACCAAAAGTTGTGGACTCCGACTGATGCAAACAAACTAAAAAATCCGAACGCGGGATCCATGGCCAAATCCAAAACAGAGAGAGGAGAAATCGCCCCACCTCGAGCTGAGGCCCTTGTAGCGGTCTCTTCCTCGGACCAGCTGCTTGCATTGCCTCACTTGCGCGAGCACTCTGGTAAAGAATCAACAGCCTTTTGGAACCTTGCCTAAAGAAGGTTTGCCAATACCTCGGAAAGCCAACAAGAGAACACGCAGTCCCTTGGTGCAACCGAGTTGCTCGGCATCGCCCGCTCCCGCTTCTGCCTCCGAAGCAGAGGCGCCTAAGGAGTCCGCGAGCTGCGCCAGGCGGGCGATGGTGCTGTGAGTGTACATCGTGGTGCCTCGGCATTTCAGCTCATCTTTTTCTAAAAATTCCATCAGCCGGAACCTGACAGGGGTTTCCTTTTGCCAAACCATCCTTTCGGCTTTCCTGGAAGACCTTTTTCTTTCAAAGGGACCCCATGGTGAGGTTCTATGTTTTTTGGTGGAAGGATACCCCTTTTTTGAGGATGCCGACCTGTTGGATGGATTTACCCTCCCAAACCCCCTGTAGAAACGACTGCCTCTTGAAAAGGGGCTTGGTGCTCTTCCATGTTAGTTGGTGAAACCGCTACAGGAAACCGTTACAGGTAACTAACCATTGTTTGAGGAAACCAACCTTTTCTTGCTGGTGCAATAGGCAGGGAACGAGAAATGGAATGACCCTGACAAAAACCATCCAACTAATGGTTTCCTTTAAGGGAATCCCTGAGTTTATCCACATTGCCTACCTATCGCGCCAGCAAGTTTTGGATTTGGTTTCTCAGGAAAACCAAAAGAAAACCATTGCCATTTCTTGGGGTCCCTGAGAAAAAGACGCGCCCGCTTTTGTTGGGGTAGGGTCGTTTCGCTTGCTTGAGCAGGGTTCCGGAATCAAACAATACTTTACAAGGATTCAGATCCTTGAAATCAGAGCAGAACAGGTGAATTTGGGATGACACAACTGCATCCTTCCAGGCATCCGTCAAGAGGAAAAAGGCAACCCAGTGGATTGAAAACTCAAAGAACCCTACCAGCTGGAGGGTTGAGGAAAATCTGTTTCAAGAATCAAGCCCTGCCCCCCCCCCCCTCCTGGAAGGAAACCCAGGAGCTATTTAAACCAAATGGTGGTTGAACACACATCGAAACAAGCGGCTGCCATTGCGATATCTAAAACAACACTTTGGGGTGTCTGGTGGGTTGGTGGACTTTTCGGCTTGGGCTGTCACAAAGAATCCCTTGTGGCTTCCTGTAAACCCATGGTTTCCTGTTGAACTGGGGAAGCAGATCCCGCCCCCCAAAAGAATCAGTTGCTCAGTTGGTTGACTTTCTGCCGTTGACCCCCGGTGGAAAAATCAGGCTGGGACACTTTCTCTGCCTCTGACGATCCAGCCATGCACAATATCTGCCAAAGTCTCTTCAATTTGAAGTTTTGGACTGACAAGGGGCTGCTTTTGGCGGGTGTGGCATATTAGACGGTTTAGGGTATAGGCTTAGGGTCTTGGTCTTGGTGTAGTCTTGGCTTAGGTTGGTTTCGGGTTTTTTCCGTCTACGTCGCGCTCGGGGTCCGCTTTTGTGCCCTTCCATTCGTTGCCCGGCATGGGAAACTGATGGCTCCGCGCCTGGCAGCTGCACAGCGAGCCGTTGCCGCAGCAAGGAGGTGGCGCGGCCCGCCAGCAGGGAGTTGCCCCCCACCAGCAGCCAATCAGCCTGTCACATAGGCCTAGCCGCCTAGAAGCCCAAGAGGGATCCAAAGCAGAAACCTGTTCAGAAATCCTCCCGGTTTCAAAAAAGCCACCTGGCTCAAGCAATCCGACTAGAATCCAGATGTCACTAATGTCCGCCAAAAGTCCCCAATTGGGTGCAGGATTGGGCAACAAGTGTTTAAACAAGCAGACGCTGGCCCCTTTGAAACCAAAGGGAGGTCGTGTCAACTGTCTTTTTTGTTGTTGAAGCGTGTCAATCATGTTTTGCATCTGGGGCTGAATCACCAAACCCTGGCCTCCACGCTCAAGGCGGAAGCCTCTTTGTCCAGGACCTCCGCCCAAACCTCCCGGATCCGCGACTCCAAAGCTGCCAGAGGACCCCGTGGGGCCACAACTGCCACCGAGCCCTCCCCGAAGCTCTCCGGCGGAGCTGGCAAGGCCTTTCTGTCCACCTGGCCGCATCCATGTGAGATCGGGATTCCGGATTCCCCGCACTCCTTTGCCACTTAAAACGGGTCTCGCCATTGCAGAAAGTCGCAACCCCTCGATAAACCCAACTTTAGGCCATGCCTTGCCGCTGGCCGTCCTCGGCAAGCTCTCCAGCAACACCACCTGGCTCGGCACCATGTACGCCGGCAGTCTGCCCGCACAAATCCCACACACAGAAGCCTCCACCTCCTTGGCATTCGAATCCATCGCCTTTGGGCAGCTCAAACCACAGTTTGGTTTCCAAAGGGAGTTCAAAGGGTGGTTGTTTAAGCAAATGGCTGTATCTCACAAAAGGGGATCTCTTAACATGATGTTCATTTTCCCTTGTGAACACCTCCAAACAGAGGGCCGATAGTTTTTATCCCCAGCAACAAGTGTGCTCGATTTCGGAGAACAGTTGCGGCTCATTTTTTGAACACCTAGACTGGACGCCCCGCGTTCAAACACCCCTGCCAATTGATTGGAGTCCTGGAAAAGATCTGTATTTACAAGGCTTGCAGGGGTTCATAGGCCCATAGGCCCACCACGCCGCACCAACCTGCCTCCTTTGGCTTCCCTTGTGAAGGGCGCCAGGTGTTCGGATCATAAAATTGATGTCTCAAGTTGGTCGCTTTGGTTTTCGTCACCCGCCTTTGGGTCCACCACATAGGCCACCAGCCGCTGCTGCGAGCCCTGGCCCGCCACGGTGACCACGGCCGCCTTGTTGGCACCACGCAGCACCTCCTCGATCTCCCCCAGCTCGATCCGGAAGCCCCGCAGCTTCACCTCAGCGCATCCGTGACAAGTCCCGTCCGAGATCCGAGCCTCATGAACCAACTGGAAATGCTGACCAAACCTGGCGACTCAACTTCTTTCAATTGACAACTTGATGGCCCAAAGGGAAACCCACAAGGGCAAACGAGCCAAAAGCGGAGCTATGCCTGGCAATGCGGCAATGTCACCTGGAAGTCGCTGCGCCCCAGGAACTCCATCACGCCTTCCCCGTCCCGGCCCATGCCCCACCTGGCCAGGTCCCCTGAACAATAGAGCCGGGACGGCGCGTCTTGGGACTCCTGGGTCACAACATCGGTTACTACCTTGCTGGCGCGATAGGTAGGGAATGTGGGAATGAACCCAGGGGTCAGGTTAAAGGAAACCACAAGGGATGGCTGATAAGGGCCATTCCCTGCCCCTGCTGAGCACCAACAACTAGAGTCGACTCTGCAACCCAATGGAACCAACAGGCCGTTTGACCAACGCTGGTTTTAACCAGGGATTGGCCAACCCGGCTCCTGGAACTCGGGCTCGAACTTGTCCGGTACGAACTTCTCGGCGGTGAGCTCGGGCATCCCCAGGTACCCCCGCGCGATGAAGCTTCCCCCAAACAAGATCTCCCCCGGCTCGCCGATGGCCGCCAAGCCGCCCTGCGTGCCCAGCAAGATCTTGGAGCCCCCCATGGGCGCACCGATGGGGATGCTCTGCAAGACACGGCCCTTGGGGCACTGCCACACCGTCATCTCCCCTTCCGTGGGGCCATACAAATTCTCCAGCGCCGCCGGCAGCAGGTCGAAGAACTGCTGGGCCAGGCTGGCGGGGAGGGCCTCCCCGCAGGTGATCACGGTCCGCAGATCCGGCCACAGCGGCCAGAGCCGGGAGTCCTCCGCCTCAAGCTCCGCATACTCCAGCAAAGCGCGGAGCACGGATGGAACAAAGACCTGGCAAGGCACCCGGTACTGCGCCGAAAGCTTCCAAAGGTACTCCATATCCTTCTCCCCGTCTGGCTTGCAAAGGACAAGCGTGCCCCCCACCGTCAGCGGCCAAAAGATCTCCCACTCGGACAGGCCGAAGGTGTAGCTGTGCTTCAGGATGCAACAGTCTCCTCGTTGCATCTGCCAACGCTCTTGAAACCTGAGCCATCAAATTGCACATTTTGGCGATAGCATCACTTCCCCTCCCCTTCCCATAGGCAAGAGCCACATGAGAGCCACATGCCCTCTGCACGCAAAGGGAATTGCTCAGGAATTGCTTACTAAGAGTTCTGCGGAAGTCCGGATCAAACTTTGCTATGAAAAGACGGTACAGGTTCTATTGGGAGCCCACAAGATTGACAGGACCCTGATTGATTGGCAGGGCGCGAGCCCACAGAAGAGGGCTCGTCTTTGGGAGAAACAACCCTCACCCGCCAAGGTTCTACTTGAATCCGGCAGGGTTGAACAAAACTGGTTTAAACAACCAGACCCTGGCCCTCTTTCAAGGGAAGCCAACAGGAGGTTCTTCAAACGATCGTGGTTTGAACACAAGGGGTTGGCCTGAATCAAATACTGACTCAACATGAAAAAACCCTTGAAAGAACTTTCTTGGGTTTTTGTTAGGTCCGGAGAAAACTTGACTGGGCTCTCCGATTTTTGGTTCTCTCCGAGGCGCCATTGGATGCGGTGGACCAGGCCGCAATGGTTCACCATGACCCCCTTGGGCTTCCCCGAGGACCCGGAAGTAAAGAAGCAGTAGACCAGACCCGAGCTGCTCACCTGAAAAAGGTGGACGGTCGAGAGAGAGAGAGAGAGAGAGAGAGAGAGAGAGCGAGAGCGAGAGAGAAAAAAGAAAAAGAAAAAAAGTAAACGCGGAAGCCAAAAGAGAATCCTTTTGAAGGGAATGAATAACTTGCTCAGGTCTCAGCTTCAGACTGCCCCGGAGGACCATAATGGGAAACCAAGCTTGGCAAGCGAATTGATTCATTTTGGGGGCCTTCCGGGTCAGTTGAAACTCCGATTTAACAATTCTGGACCCCATCCCTGCCTCAATGTCAGGTAAATGCATCTGCTGATGATTGCCCAGCTGGATCTCAACTACCTGGGCGAGGCTGGCAAGCCGCTCCACATACCTCAGTGGCTTCTTGAGCCCCTGGCCAAAAGTTACACTTTAGATTTTGAGACCGATCCCTCACGAGTCTAAACCGGCAAAACCGAAAAAAAAAAAAAAAAAAAAAAAAAAAAAAAAAAACGCCAAGATACCCCGGGCCCGCGCAAACCGCTGCGGGCGAGCATTGGGCGATCACTTCTGCCACGCGGTCATCCGGCCACTTCGAATCCAGCGGCACGTACCCAGCGCCCGCGACGAGGATCCCAAAGATCCCCAAAATCATCTCCAGGCTGCGCTGCGCCATGAGTGGCACCAGGCTGTCCGTCTTCACCTGCTCGGGAAAAGGTTTCGGGTCTGAAGAAAATGACTACAAAAAACGCGCACATCCCCTCTCGGTTCTCTTGCTCGGGGGAAGGGAAATGAAAAGTTGTGGGTAAACACCAGCGCCTTGCACGAAAGCAGCTTGGTGGCCAAGTGGCTGGCCTCAATAGCCAGCTGCCGGTACGTCAAGGACCGAGGCTCATCGATCACTGCCGTTTGGTTTGGGCTGAGCTGAGACTGCGCGAAGAAGGAAGTATGGATGCAGCCGTCTCCATATTTCTCAGCTTCGCGGCAGTCGCTCCAGAGCAAGATCTGCTGCTCTTCCTCCGCACTGCATAACTCCAGCTGAGCGCAGGGGATGTCCACATCTGACATGAGGAGGGTGTGCAAATGCCCAAGGAGCCGCTCCGCCATGGAGGTCTGGATGAAGCCCTGCTGAAACGTCACCGAGGTCCGCATGGATTCGAAGGTGCCTGAGCTCAGCGCAGGTCTTGCGGCGAGCTGGATCATGAGCCGTCGCACCTCCTGAACTCCGAAAGGCCTCCACTCCAGCCCAGCAGCAGCCTCCCAGCGTGGCTCTGGCTTGGTATGAAGCCCTTGAACGCAAGCTTGGGCCTTTGCACAAATGCTTTCCGGCCTCCAAGGCGAAGCCTACGCGGCACTCCGGCGGCACCGGGAAGCGCTGGCCCCCGGCCGCCGCCACTTCGCGCGCCTGGCGCGCGGCGCTGAGACGGGCCGAGGCCACCTCGGCCGCCCGGCAGAGCGACCAGTCCCCGAGCCCCGGCAAGCGCACCACGTCCACAGCCTGCGACCCAACAGATTCAATCAGGCTCGGCACCCCCATTTGACATCTCAGGGAAACCAAACTGCGTTCTAGAGTTGACATTCCCGGTCCAAAATGGTGATTGCTGATTGGTCTAGTGGAAACGGTGGTGCTTTCCAATTTCCTCACTGGATCCCCGCCGCGGCGTCTGCGTCCGGTTGGGCGGGCTGCGCCACGGCCACTAAAACGTCCTCCGCGCGGCCATAGCGGCACAGGAGCGTCACCCAGGCTGCCAGCAGCTGTTGCTCATTGACTTCAAAGTCCAAAACACCCTCCACCCGGCCCATCTCATGGGTCAGGTAGCTGTCCAGCGGATGCAAAGGAGGAAAGTTCAGCTCAAAAACCGAGGGATTTTGAAACTCCTTCAGCCAAAACACTGACGGGTCCAAATCCGGCTCCTCCTCGGTCTCTGGTGTTTCTGGTGCTGGCACTAGATCTGGCACCGGAGGCGTTTCTGGCGGCATGTGCGGCTGTCTGTCGTTGTCCGGGGGCCGGGATTTGCGCTCCAGCTGCACACAGCAGCGCGAGACATTGGATCCCAAAGAGCCATCAGCCGCGATGGTAAGCCAAAGCCCACTGGAAATACCAAATAGAGCGATGTTGGCCACCTCTGCGCCTGTGCCCTCACTTTGGGTGGACAGCCAGAACCTGAGCTGGAAGGCCAGCTCAAGGCAACATTCTCATGTTGCACACAAACACTGTTGCACAAAATATGCTTGCAGCATAGCAGCTTCGTCCAGGGACCTCCTAGCCTCCCTTTCAGGTCCACAGCGCCTTTCTTTCGGATCCTTAAAAAGCCCTCGCCAGATTGGAAGCTGTACACTCCCTGGGCGTGCTTTACAACAAACGGGCCCACCACGGTCGCATCAAATCGCCGGAGGCGAATCTCCTCGCCCTCTTCCAAAAGCTCGGTGCTGAGGCTCTGCCAAGTGTTGCCCCTCGCGCCGGCGCCCTCACCCTTGGCCCCTTTGGCCCCTTTGGCCCCTTTGGCCCCTTTGGCACCCTTGGCACCTTTGGCACCTTTGGCCCAGGCACCTTTCCTCCAGCCCTTCCCCCCTTTGCCACCCCAAGCGAAGTGATGCCCCTCTCCCTTCATGGCTCTGGCGCAGCTGCCACGGCAATTTCTTAATTTACGACAGCGCTGGTCGTTTTTTTCAACACACACCGATACTTGGTAGGCAAGGCTGTAGTGCTGGATGTTGCCTGTGACGGCAGGTGCAAATTCAATGCATGTGCTAATGGCTAATGCTGGCTTGCAGTTATTTTGCGGGAGGAAGTCGCTGAAGAGCCAAATGGCTGTCAATGCCATGAACAAGGAAGTAAGGCGCAGACTTCCAGGACTGCGGTCCACCGCAGCGATGCCGTCGTCGCCACGGCCATCAAAACCACCATCACCAGGCTTTGCTGAGTATTGGCATCTGGCAGGAAGCACGTGTTCCAAAGGAGTTGCCCAGCATCGAAACAGTTCCCTAGTTCACACCGCTTCCCTTTCAGGTGCTTTGCGTCATAGTAGCATCGGTGTTAGGCGCAGTTATGCTTCTGGGCTACCACCACCGCAGCCCCAGCCGCCATCAACACCACCAATGCCTCACCATCTCCACCACCACCACCAAACCACACCCACCCACCACACCACACCACACCACACCACACCACACCACAGCACACCACACCACACCACACCACACCACACCACACCACACCACACGCCACGTCACACCACCACCACGTCACACCACCACCACGTCACACCACACCACACCACACCACACCACCACCACCACCACCCGCAACCAACATCACCACCACCGCCACCACTGAAGCCGTGTCAGTATCGGTTAATCCAAAATTTAGCCTCTATCTCTGTGAGGCTTAAAACCGGCCAAAGACCAGGGCGCTGTTCATGAAAATAATCATGTAAATAATCATGTAAACAAAAAGGGCTGAAAAGAAACACGTAAAAGATCTTGTACATGCTGGTTGCCTCAATGTGGGAAGCTGGAAGTAACACCTGGACAGACATGACAGGCACGCAATCAGACAAGCCATCTCGGCTTGGACCTCAACAGCCGCCCACGGTTTCGAAAGGGCGCATGGGCAGAAGCAACTTGACCGAGTCACGATCATTAGGAATTCCTGAGCACGCAGTTGCAATGAACGGCTAAGAGCAGCTCACGGTATGCTGCTGCAAGCCAGACATTCTTTGGCAAGATGCAGTGTCCCTACTCATTGAGCCCTACGGCATGTCCTTGCTCATGGCCACCAAGCACACATGTGTCTTGGTGGAGGTTCTGGCTGCCGGGTGTCGGCGGCATGGCAACGCAACCCTTAGGCCACCGTCAGTTTTCTGCAGCCCCAAGCGCAACGTGCTGTTGCGTCGGGAAGGGCCTCTTAGCTTCGCCAACCACTTTGCTCACGCGCAATTAGTCATGGGGCTAGGCCAGCTACCGGCACAAATGAACATTCATGTAAATGTGTCGCAACTCTTCCCATGAGTCATGATTCATCATGTTTTGCCTTCGGTGATATGAGCTGGCGAAACGGAGACACTCATCAATACATATCCTCGCTCATGCTCGCTCAAGGTTGGGCAACAAAGGAAATCAAACTTTCACGCCTAAATCTTCTCTTTCTACTAAGGCTCAAGTTAACCTGAAAGCTTGATCTATTTACGTGACTTTTTTTTGTTTTCGGGCACCGACAAGACAACAGACCCCCTATTTGTAGAGGCTAAGTTTTGGTTTAAAGTATCGGTGTCATTGCCATCGCCATTGGGTCAAGGATCTGAACAAGTCTCGAAGCCAATGACTGCAGCAGCCCAGTGCCACTACTGACGCAAACCACCTGAGACGAACAAGAACTCTCATGAAATGCGGCCTGCTAAAAAGTTGAGTGCCAAGTACATTAACATTCCTGTGGGTGGATGTAAGTCCACGCCAATTTGGGATCAGCGCTGTCGGTCGCTTGCTGGCTTGCCTCTGAGGCCTGTAAACTTGGCGAAGACTTGGGCTTGTCTCAAAGATGCAGACCCGTTATTTTTCCTGCAAACCCCATTTTGAGACACACCCACTTCAAAGCCGGAGTGCAAAAAGTTGCCCGTCGCGGCATTTCAAGCAGCTCAACCTAGCCGCTTGAACAACTGGCAAGAACAGGTCAAGCTCAGGCGACCTGGATCACGAGTTTCCCAGCTGAAGCCCAGCCCATGCTCTTCGTGAGCACCTTCGGGACATCCTCGAAAGGGACCACACAGTCCACGGGCACTGTCAGCTTCCCTTCCTTCACAAACTGCACCAGCTTCCTCGGATCAAGGTATTGAACACACAGGGGTACAAGCGGCACACGATTCCAAACATCCGCCAGAGAAAAACACCAAAGCGGCTTTCTACCTTGACGCCTTCCGTCTCTACTGCGGCTTCTGCCTGCGTGCTTTGGTACCATTCTGCGTTGGCAGGCGCACCTTTGTTTGCGCGCTTCAACTCTTTGAGCCCCACCGAAGCCTGTGCCTGCAGATTCCGAACGCCGCGTTCCAAAGCAATGGCTCGGGTGTCGGCTCCCGACTTTTGCCTTCACCTTCCAATTTGGGCCCAAAATCGCATCTATTCTCCTTTGGCAAGGGGCACACGAAGATTGGGGCGTTTTGGTTGGTGGATTTTGTCCAGCTCTAATGCGCCTTGGTTGGATTCGGAGTACCTAGTCGAGAAAAAGCTGTTTTTCTTGGCCAGCACTTGGTTGACATGAGTCTTGAGGTCCTCAGAATCGGATTTGATCAGGAAAGCTTGGAAGGAGTGGTCCTCCGTGGATTTTGCGTCCCCGAAATTGGCGATGGTCACAAACTTGCCTCCCTTCTTCAGCACCTGCACGAAGCGGTTGATATGAAACTCAGCCAACGACGAGAATGCGAATTTCTGCCGACACGCTTATGAAATTCGGCCGAAACTTTATTGAAATTCGGCCGACGTTCGGCCAACAGCCCACATTGTCTTGGCCGTGGTTTGCCAGCTGAGCATCCCCATCCCCACCGACCCGACCGAAGCATCCCGACCATCCCAACCGGCCAGAACCTCCCAACCACCTCGATCCTCCTAACCGCCCCGACCCTTCGTCCCCGGCGCGCACCTCGTAAAACCACGACAGCCGCCCCAAAACTGAACCAACCCCCGGACCCACCCTAAGCCAGCCACAAAACAGACCATAATTCGGCCCTAAGCAACCCTGGACCAAAACTGGAGCCACCAAATCCATCCTATATAAGACTGGCTCTTCCCTAAACCAACCCTGAATCCACCCTAAACCACCCTAAACCCTGACCATGGGATGTTGGACGGTTGAGATGGTCTGGACTTGATTCGGACCATCCCTACCGACCATCCGGAAACCTTCTGTCGCATTTCATGCTACCTCCAATCTGTTGTCTGAAAGTCGCTTCACCCTGCATGAAGACCTGATGATGTCAAAGCCTATTGAGAACCCATGATTCATCATCTATACGGGGTCGTCCCATTTGGGGGGGGGGGGGGCAACTACGGTTCATCCGCAAACCCCAAATAATGTAAAGAACCGCAAAAGTGGGTTCACCTATGGTTGGCGCCTTGCAAAACGCCTCCTCTCGGATCAGACGCCCTCCATATCCAACCCCTGACTTGCATCACATTTTTCAGCCATACCTTGACATTGGCTGGCTTCGGCCTACAGCAATGCCGCAGACTGCGTGACTACATCCAAAGCATGACTATCACCATCCTGCGACCTCTTCCGACTTGCCCCGCCTTGCTGGCCTTGGGCCAGTCTTCTTCTGTGCCCACGCAGTCATAGATCAAATCGACATTCGCCCCAGCCTTGACATCCGACCAGTCCGCCTCCTTATAGTTGATCACGTCGTCCGCTCCCAGCTTCTTCCTCGGGCGCGGAAGATCAAGAAGAGAATCCCAGCTTTGTCATTTGGGAGCGCCTCCAATAAGAAAACAAAGTTTAATACAATAATGAAAAATACAAACGATAAGGACCCGAAACAGACCACCCCCTCAACAGTTCAGTGACTGCTGACATGCACATTACATAAATACATGTATGCCGGCACACACAAACACACACATACGAAAACATTCGGCGCACACACCCGCACACACAAACATTTCCGCATACGTAGCAACGGCCCAATAAACCCATCCCAACGCCCTTGAAAAACAAAAACTCCAAAAGAGAAGGGTGAAAACTGAAACTGCCGGGGGGTCATATAGTCCAACTTGTTGGTCCCGTCGGGCATTTTGTTGGGGCTGGCGGTGGTGGCCACCTCCGCGCCGATGGCCCTGCCCAGCTGCACGGCGATGGCCCCGGTGGCCGCGGCGCCGCCCAAGACCAGCAGCTTCTGCCCTGCGGCTCGAGCTTCGAACTTGCGTGGCGCAACCGCCCCCGATGGTCGCCTGAAAGTCATGCGTTCGCGCGGGCCTGGGGTTGCGTTGCATGGAGTCCGCGCGCGGTCGCCGGCGGGCGGCGGCGAACGTTGCCGCGCCACGAGAGGGAGAAGGCTCGGACTGCGCGCTTGGTATGACTTGCAGCAGATTGTTTGCGTTGCGCTTGTGGGCAAATCGCAGCTTTGGCGACGTCGTGCGTGCACCACTTCGCTGCGCCAGCGCCCTGTTTTGGAAGGTTGCGCGCTTGCACCGCCATGCCATTGCGATTTGCGTCTCAGGGGTGTGTCTTGCTTGGCAGGCGCGTGCAAGCTTTTGCGTGAGTTGGTACAGTCGGCTCGCTTTGGCGATCTGAAGTCAGTCATTCTTGTGCTGCAGCCCCAACTGTAACGTTGGATTTCGGGACAGGCGCAATACTTTCAAGCACAACTTGCTTTTTGGAAGCTTACTTTGCCTGACGGGCGTAGCAGTTTGGAACGCTGTGATCAAACTTCGTGGCAGGCGGCGCAGCAGTTTCGGTGGTCACGCAACACTTTTCACCAAAGGTGTTGGTTTGTGTGGCAAGCGCAATGGTTTGGAGGGTCACCCGCAGATCTCGCGGCAGCGGGAGAGCTGTGGCACATAGCGCTGATTTTGTGGGAGGCGCTTTCGTGGCAGGCGCGGCATTTTTGGAGCACAGGGCTGGCCGGCGCAACAATTTGTAGGGTCACGCGTTGGGTCTAGACAGCCGCAGCACTTTGGAGCACGACTCGCTTGCAGGAGTGTCGTTAGACGAAAGGAAGAAGACAGACAGACAGACAGACAGAGACAGAGACAGAGACAGAGACAGAGACGAGAAACAGAGAGACAGAGACACAGAGAGACAGAGAGACAGAGAGACAGAGAGACAGAGAGACAGAGAGACAGAGAGACAGAGAGACAGAGAGACAGAGAGACAGAGAGACAGAGACACAGAGACACAGAGACACAGAGACACAGAGACACAGAGACACAGAGACACAGAGACACAGAGACACAGAGACACAGACACAGAGACACAGAGACACAGAGACACAGAGACACAGACACAGACACAGACACAGACACAGACACAGACACAGACACAGACACACAGACACACACAGACAGACACAGACAGACACAGACAGACACAGACAGACACAGACAGACACAGACAGACACAGACAGACACAGACAGACACAGACAGACACAGACAGACACAGACAGACACAGACAGACACAGACAGACACAGACAGACACAGACAGACCAGACAGACAGGCAGGCAGGCAGGCAGGCAGGCAGGCAGGCAGACAGATAGCAAGATGGGAAGAGAGAAAGTGAGCAGAGAGAGGCAGATAGATGGATAATGGCTAGAACAATAGCTAGCCACGTGAAAGATTAGACAGATAGATAAATGGATAGATTAGGTACATAGTTCAAGCGACAGACAGATAGGTAGATCGCCAAATCGATAGATACGGATTGACAGACAAACAGAAGGATGGACAGGTAGACAGAGAGATAGATACAGAAATGGATAGATGAGAGACACTTCTGCGGTCATAAACCCTCACCCCCAGACCCTTCTGCTGCACGCCGGGAAAAAAATAGAGTGATGAAGGTCAGCATTTTCATGAGGTACTTTCAGTTTTCCTCTCCCTGGGTTGCCCTCCCCCCCCCGTCCCTGGCACAAAATCGGATCCGACGCCTGGCGCCAGGGTGCCCAGGGGCGCTCCCGTGAAGTCGCCCCCGGCGCCGGTAAAGAGGGCCTGGTAGGAGGTGAGTCCGGCCAAGGGCAGGCCCACCAGCTCCTCGAACCCCCCAAAACGCAAACCTCGAAGCCGATTGAAAACATCCGTCGCTTTCTGGCGCAGCTGCAATTCATCAACCCTCACATCAACTCAACCTGAAGGACAAGAAAAACACCAAGATGAAGATTCATACGACATATGACATAAGTGACATCAAGATAATGAAGAAATAATAAAGGAATGAGCTGTTGTTGCTTCGCATTTCCTGGATCTTTGGATTAGGACGTGTTCACTGGTTCTCTTCACCAGAGGTTAACTATTGTTGATGACAGCTTGAATTGTTGAAATGCCCGTCTCCAAGCGGCTGGATATTCTTACATTCTAGAAGACGTGAGAGAAGCAACTTTAGGAAAATGTAACCCTTCAAAAAAGTCGCTCACAGACAAGGATTCTATGTCATGAGAAGCCATCCTCGTCTATCAAATACTATTTTTCGGGTGGCTGTCCCTTGATCCTTCTCCCTAGCCGAGGTTTGAATAGCATTTGCATGTCGGTCGACTAAACTCTCCAACAAACCCAGACAAGAGACATGAGGTGCGCGAGAGAAAGGATATGACATCTCTTCATGGCTCACCTCTCGTTCGTCCAGAAATGTTCTCATTCACATTTGGCGGTCAATGGTCACCGCTTGCCTGGCCACGTCCTTCATTCCAAGGTCTCGCGAGACCCAGGCACCATCCTCTCCAATCAAGAGATGTAGCCTGTTAAATTGACGATCATTTTACATGAGCTTGAGGAAAGGCACCGTAGGCAAAAGAATCATCATGTAACCTCATGTAGTTTCAGCACTTGGAAAGGCTCTCAAAAAGACAGAAAGTGTTTGAATCTCTTTTCACCCTTCCTTCGTCTTCTTCTGGAGATTTCAGGTATGAGAGATAAAGAGTTGGGAAAAGAGGTAATTGCAGTAAAGTCCTTGCTGCGACCTCATCCATAAGCTTGACCATGATAGGCAATTGTTGACAGTAAATGAGATGAGATGAAATTCACATAGCACTCACGCTTGTGGAGCCCCTCGTCACGGACATATATAACGGCTTGAAGATAGGGTCAGCTTCTTGCGTCTCTTTTTCAGGTCTTGTTTCGGGGTGAGCGAGGTTTAATTGAACGAGCCCTTCAACCCTTTCTTCTTGCCCCACCCCCTGCCTCCCCCCACCCTCTTGCCCCCCGGCTTGGACGGCTGCACAAGAAAGAGAATCGATCCTTGTTGCCCTTTCACTTGGCATGAGATCTCTTGATGCATCCTCTCCTTCGCAGGGATGCCCTCTCTCTTGGCCACAGTGCTCGCCAAGGCCACGGTGTACTGCGCAAAGGCTCCAGCCGGGCCGCACGGACTCCTTGGACGTGCAAAAACAGCACCTGCGCAAAGACAGCTTGTTCCCCCCTATGGTGGTCCATAGCAAAACTTTGCGTGTGAGAGAAAAAGCGACTTCTGGCTGAACCCGCCGATGGGAATGAAGGATTCTGCCCCACTTTAGAGGATCACTTCTTTCAGAACCAGCACTGCACATTAGGCGACACTTGGATTTCTCCAAGGCTCTCGGTCTTGCAGGTCTCCACCAGGCCAAGATCTGCGATGACTTCGTCGCCCACCTACAGGTCTTTACCAGGTTTGGGGGGGGGGGGAAGAAACGCGTTCTCTCTTGCAGGACAAATTCGGAAAAGGGGCTCTTATGTTTCTCCTGGAAGGCTATGGAACAAGAGGTGGATCGGCGCCCTGGCTGATCAAACCTCACCTGGACATTGCCTACGCCCTCTCCGAGCTTCACGACAGTGCCGGCAACGTCAAAGCCCGGCACGTACGGGAAGGTCACAGGACAAATGCCATGCCTTATGTCAGAAAGGGCATTGCCAGCCGGCACGCATGAGCAGCTTGATTTACCTTGAAACTCAAATGGACATGTACACCCGTATGTCATAATGTCGCTGGTCACAATCACTCCGGGCATTTCCGATCACTTGCGATAAATAGATGCACTCTGAGTCAGCCTAAGCTACAATTTTCACATTGTTTCTTGGTCCAAACATCTTCAAGATTACCTTTTACAAACATTGTAGCGGAAACCGCCCAAATAATTTGTCGGCAAGCTGCATCCCGCCGCTGAAGAGCTTCCAATCGATGGGGTTGACCGCAGCCAGTTCTACTTTGATCAGGACCTGGCCTGAGCCAACTCCAACCGTTGTCAGGATTCTCATTTTTCCTTGCACCCAAAAAATTAGCCCCAAAAATCGCAAACTTCCGTGAGCTAGCGCCCTTTTTTCTGACTTTTGAGGTGACCCGTGCCTGGCTTGGGTTCGGGCATGGGGATGGTGTCCAAGGTCATCTTGCTGATGGTGTCAGCAGGATTGCCCTCCTCCCCATAGGCGTGGACCCGCCAGGCCTTCATCTCGCTAGGCACCGCCATGGCTCAGAAAATCTATGGGACCACAGAGAGAAGTAGAGAACGGCGCGAACTTGAGCACCATGGTCATTGTAAACAAATGGCGCGCCAGTGCTACGTTTGGCAGCGAGATGCTGCCCGCAAGTTGCAACACGCAAGCGGCTCTGCGCAGTTGCTCTGCGCAAGCTCCCTTTTCGAGCTGTCTGCGCGCTTGCGCTCTGCGCAAGTTGCTCTGAGCAAGTCTGGCACGTCAATCTCCGAGAGCGATCTGCGCAAGTTGCTTCATGCAAGTTGCCCTGTGCAATTTGTGTGCGCAAACTACTCTTTGCAATCTCTTTGCAAGTTGTTCTTCGTATGTTCTTCGTAGGTGATTGCCACGCGCTGCCCAAGTGCCCCTTGCACGTTGCTCTGCTGCAAAATGTGTGCAAGCTACTCTTTGAAAAGTTGCTCTTCTGTTTTTTTTGTGTTATTATTATTGTGCTTTTCGCGCGATTTTTTTCGCAGCAATTGTCCGTCGGGGGCAGGTTTGTGGGATTCGGAGGGCTTTGCCTTACGGGCCAGAAGACTTTGTACACACCACACGCAGCATCCCCCAGCGCGGCAGCGGGCTAGAGGCGTGCCAGGCGGAAGGCATGGCAAACAAACTAACAAACTAGAGGCAAAAGCCTGCTTCGGTGCTCTGCGTAAATGCCATGCACAAATTGCTCTTCGCAAGTTGCTCTACGCTTGTCTGCAAATTCTCTGCACGATGATGTTCTGCACAAGTTGCTCTGCGCAACTGTCTGGCCTATGCAAGTTGTACATTTCCCTGCGCAGAGCAAATTGCGCAGAGTTGCGCAAAGCGTGCTGCGCAAGATTCTTCTGCGCAGCTGTGACTTTCTGCGGAGTTTCCACGACAGCGGGACGTCCGGCAATCCCCAGCTGATCCCCTGCATTCTCTCCGCATATCCACACCTCTCCCTAGACCCCAGCGCTGAACTTTGCTGCTCCGGGCCTGCATTTTCCTTTTGTCGAATTGTTTTTCTTTGCGCGCCTTGTTTCCTTTTTTTCATTCTCCCCCCCCCCCCCTGTTCTGCATTGCTGTGTCCTCCTTATCCGCCACAAGCTCCTCCAAGGGTTCTCCATCAACTTGTCGCTCTGAGCCTCCTCCATCCATTCGTCAAGCCTTTTCATCTGCTCCGCAAAGGCACCAAAGCCAATGGCTCCCTCTGGCCTCAACGATCAACGGCTCAACTCTGCTCTTGCTCGACCTTTGCCATCAGACATTGCGGCGCGGTCGCAGCCACCTACTGTGGCGTTGGGCCCATAACATACATGTGAGCTGCCCGCTCATGTGGTGCTTTTCCTTCGCACCTTGAATGTCAAAACGGCTTCCATGCCCCCCGACGATCTTCTCTGTATCAAAGGAGCACGGATTTCGTCCTTCGAAAGGGGCCATGACTAGGGCCCCCTCTCATTAAAAGTTCCCATCATCGGTGCTCGACAAATGCTCGGGCAGATTGATTTCAGGAAACCTCCTGTGAGGATCAACCTGTGCGTGCGACCCGGTGCGTGTCACTCTCTGCGCGCTCCAGTCCCTCTTTTTGCGGTTGTCTGCGAACTTCCGTCTTGCAAGTTGGTCGGCGCGCAAACACGGGTGTGCGAACGCGTCATTTTACCGCGCAGAGGCAGCGTCGCAGCGCAGGGGGCACGTCGCTGCGTCATCCGTGCGAGCACGTGCCACCGCATAACACCACGGCCAACGCGCCGGCTCACAAAGCTCTGGCAGCAAAGCGCCCTGCGCACAGCCAACAATTCGCCAAGGTGCACAAGGTGACGGGGCTGAAGGCTCTTCGAGCTGGCTTCCAGCCACCGCGTGCGCGAGGGAGCGCCTGGAGCAGGAGCAGGGCTTGCTGGCAGAGCTGCCGCAGCTGCCTGACTTGCAGTGTGCCTGGCTGCTGCTCCTCTTTTGCGCCGCGCCTCGGGCGCAACACTTGCTCCGCACCGCGCCGCCTTCCCAATCGGCGGCGTACGCGGAAGCACATGACCATGCCGTCTGGGGCACACTGCATGCGCTCCTCGGCGAGCGCGGCGCCGCTTGGCCGGAGGCCCGCCGCCTTGCTTTTCTTCCAGCGCGCGAGTGCGGTCTTGGTCTCTTGTGTGCCACACGCGCTGCGCCTGCCGCCTACTGGGCGGCCTGGGCCGATTCCTTGCCGGTCATGCTCCAGCGTCGCCCTGATGCGGCGGAGCGATGTGTGCGGGAGCTCCTCGTAGACGACGAAGCTGCCGCCCCTTGCCTTCGCGAGGCGGCCGTCGCTGGCGACCTGCTCCAGCGCCACTGGCCCGAGCGTCCGTCCTGGCAGGACATCCTTGCGCGCGCGGCCCCTCCCGCTGTAGCGGATGACAGTGAACCAGGCGATTGGCCGCATGGTTGGCAGCTTCTCGCATCTCGCGCACTCAACTCCCATTTTCGCGAGGCCGAGCTTCTGCCACACATGCGGCCGAGCGACCGCGCTGGTCTCCGCTTGCGGCTGTGCCGACTGACCCGGGCACCACGCTGCCCCCGGCGCACATGCACGTCGCCTTGCGCAGGCGCCTGCGTCTCGCGCTGCCCCTCGCGCACCGGTATTGCGGAGGCGATGGGTTCCCGGGGTGCGGCGCCGCGCTCCATGTCTTGGGCGACCATGCGGCAGCGTGCCCGCGCAGCGGACTGTTGGCCCGCCGCGCCCCCTTGCTTGAACAAGCGTGGGTCCGCGTCGCGCGTGAAGGTCTGGGACCCGAGGGCAGGGTTGTCCCTCAGCAGTGGTTGGCCAACACTTTTGCGCCAGGCGTCAGTGCGCAGGACAGGCGCCGCCTGGATCTTGCTCTTTACGGCGCCACGCGCTTGGGCGAAGCGCTGTGCTGCGACGCCACGCTCGTTGCTCCGCTCCGTCGCGACGGCCGACCGCAGCCACGCGCGGCCGAGGAGGACGGCGCAGCCATTGCGGTAGCGCGGCGCCGCAAGGAGGCGCGGTACCCGGAGCTTTGCCGGCCTGGCCCGCAGCGGCTGGTCGTTCTTGCTTGTGAAACGGGCGGGCGGTGGGGCCCCGAGGCGTGCGGCTTAGTTGATCGCTTGGTGCGCCTCCGGGCCCTCCGCGCGCCTCCAGCCGTCCGCCGCGCGGCCGAGGCGGGTTGGCGCCGCAGGTGGTGGGCACTGCTCAGCGCCGCCTTGCAGCGCGCCCTCGCTTCCACTCTGTTCGGAGGGCGTTGGTTTTCCCCCGCGAGGCCGGCTGCGCGAGCCCGACCTCGCCGATGTCCTTGCTTTGGCTGGCCCGTCCGGGCCCAGCCTTCTGCCTTTGCGCGGCTAGTCGCCACGTCGGCGCGCGCGCGCGCGCGCTTCGTTCGCCTTTCTCGGCGGCCGTTTCGGGTGGGGGGGGTTGAGGGTTCCCTGGGTCTCACTGCCGCTGGACGGAAAAAGGCGTAAAAAAAGTGCTACCAAGGTTTCCTCACGCAAATGGTTGTGCGCTGCCTGCAGTGCTGGGTGCTGGCCAAGCGCGTACAAAGCTGGCATTAAGGGGTCTCCTTGCTCACCCCCCTCTGCTTGCTGGACGATGTGCGGCACTCCTCCCGAATCGTGCCAAGCATACTCCGAGGGCTCCAGGCGGAGCTGCCTGCGCTGCAAGGCAAACGGCTGGCATGCGATTGCGGCCCGGGCGAGGCAGATGCGCTGGCTGGGATGGTCTTTGATGCGACCCATCCGGATGCCGAGGCTAGCCTGCCCAGAGTCACTGGGAGGCGGCACAGGCAGGCCAGGGGCTCTGTGGTCAGGGCGGCGACCATCATGGGATCGCTCCGAGGCAGTGACGCCCTGCAGTCGATGTCACTCTGGTTTGTGCAGGAGAACGTAATCTTGGCCTTTCGCAAGCTCTACCCGGCAGAGTGGTTCCAATCTTTTCAGTGGCCCATGTTGGAGGACCTGTTGAACAAGGAACCCTTTACGTGCTACTTGGACTGGCGCCAGAGCCGCGGGATGGAGTGGGACGGACCCCTCTGAGACCGTGGGAGTGGTGGCCCTGACCCACGTAAACCACGTCCGGAGGCAGCTTCCCATCGGCAAGTACGTCCGCCACTCGTACCACCGTGGGCAGCCGTGCCCGCTCCTCGGGATGCAGTGGTGGCAACCCGAGTGTGATGGCCAGCGGAGTCATGGCCCAGCTACGCATAGCTCTGGGATCGATGTCCAGCCAGTGTTGCCGTCGGCCACACGCCATCCGAGGCACGTGGAGTCGGGCATGCCCTTCTCGGACCGCCCACCAACTGACCGATACCGCAATGGCGAAGGGAGTATTCGGCCTCCTCCTTGGATGGGAACTGGTGTCGCCCCTGGGTGTCCTCCCAAGAGGCTGCATGCTGATGGTGGCACTCGCGGGGGTGGATCAGCTCGATCTCATGGATGTTGTGCCGCAGCCGCTGGTGTTTGCAACGCGCTGACATGAAAACGCATGCCGAGTACGTTGTATCGTACCAGAGGCCGGACTCCATCATGGTCTCCTCCTGCGGGAGGGACCAATGGAGGCTCCGAGCCGGGTTCTCCCGCAGGGCCCCTCTGCCATCGTCTGCTATAGCCTGGAGCTGCTTCAGGATCCAGGAGCATGCCGCATTGTCCACATCCACCCGCCTTTGGTTCTTGGGGTCAAGCCCGGGCAAACCTTCTGGGTGTGCCTCAGAACGCAGTGGTTTGGGACCTGGGAGCCGCAAAGATTCTGGGGATCTCTCTGGCCCTGGATTTCGTGGAGCAGCCCAGAGCTGCTGCTGCGAAGGCTGCTGACCGCATCGGCGCCTCCAGTGCTTGTTGCCTCACCGGGTTAGACAGGTCGTGCCCCGGGTCCAGCGACCAGTCGATGGGCAGCACCCTCCAGCCACAAAACAGAAACGCCTTCGCCAGGGGCATGTTGGGACCACACATGAGGTCGACCATCAACGGGCCGCCCTCCTGGGCTCCGGTGTGGGGGTGCGAGAGTTCTGACCCTATTCCCCCTCCCCCCCAGGGCACCCTCAAGACTTCTGCCCAACACTCCTTGGCTCCGTGATTCTGCATCCCGCAGACTCGGTCCCTGAGGATCGCAGCGCACCTGTGCTGG